AGATTTTTATCTTAACACCCAAGGATTTGTTAATAATACTTATAACTTAAGGACCTGTCTAGGATGATCCAGTTGACACAGCTCACTCGCAGGTGTCTCTAACACTAACCATGTCGGAGCGTCTTTCTGCCTTCTTCAACTTAAACTGGAGAACCCGACAGTTCTTGGCGGTCTGCTCTAGTTCTCGCTTGAGGTCCCGGTACTCATCAGCCTGCTCCTCGCGGAAGTTGTCCTGCATCTCCTCGATCTCCTCCTCCAGAGCTCTGATCTCCTTCTTGTAGTCCTCGTTCTCATCCATCAGCTCCTCACACAGTTGTTCCGCCGCCTGCAGCTTCGATCTCAGGTCCTGTTGTCAGAGCAAGTTACCGCAAAGTGGAGCAACAAGTAGGCCAGAAATGCATTATATACATACATTATATATATATAATATAATATAATATATATATATATATATATTATATTTATATATATCGTGCAGAATAGGTAACACTGGTCAGCTAGCAAGAACTCGTTTAAAATTTTGTTCTTCCTAAAATTTTCTCTTATATGTTCCAAGATATATTTTTTCATTTATGTTAGTGTAAAAATTAATAATTTTGTGCCAAAAGAACCTTTAAAAATTTACTTAACCTTATTATAACAGGCGCAATTTAATTTAGCCTAATCAAACTCAATATATTTTAGATAAGTTTACAATAATTTAATAATAAACAATGAAATATTTTTTTTTCGTTAGGTTCAGAATGATTTTAGCGAAATTATTACATACACAAATTTTCGCTTGCCTTATTCGGCAAGAAGAGTGTTTAAGCCAAAATCGCAAGTTTTACCTATTCGGCACGACATATACATAATGAGGGACATCGTCTTACCTCCATGGTCTTCTCAACATCTTTTGGAAGCGGTCGCTTGTCGATCTCCTTCTTGAGGTCTTTAATTTCCTTGTTCTTGTTCTTCATGTCCTCGCTCAGGTCGTCATACTGAAACGTTGAGAGAAGTGGAATTACTTTTGTCATCGCTCAGATATTGTTCGTTGAAATGATTCGTTGTCAGTTTAAGAACGCAAATGAACGAAAATATAATTTGCTTGCTAAATAATTGCTAAAATATTATTAAAGAAATATGCGAGATGTGCAATATACACAAGTTTTCTAGCATGTAAATGTTTATTCATTCATTAGGGGTTTGCCGGTACTTCCGGCCCGGGTCTTCTCCAGATGGTGACCCGGCGCATGTAAATATGTTAGAATAATTTTCCGTTTAGCTATGAAATGCATTTCCCATCACTCATTCCTTACTAGCTGTGTTTTTAGAAGAACACGGACATTACCTATCCTGCAGTGCGCAGCCACTACGATCGTTCTCCAGAACTCCAATACGGTTGTAACATCTGTTCACGAGTCGCTTCATAAGTGTTACCTTGGTTAATGTAGGGAAAACCCACCTTTTGTTGCATCTTGGTGAGCTCCGCTTGTTTTCTCACATCACCGAACTTGGGCTTCTTGCCCATGAGTTCCTTATTCTCCCTCTCCAGCGTCTCCGACTTCTCCGACAGCTCCTCGATCTGCTTTACCTTCTCCTTCAGTTCCTTCTGCAGGCGATCCAATTCCGACTGAAGGTCGATTTCCACTCTCTTTGGCTCTTTCTTGGGCTTGGAGAGTTGGATCACGTAGGTAGCATCCGCGGAGTCATCTTCGCTCTTAACCTCCTGCAGGAGGGAGATAAATGATGATCATGTTAATGGTGAAGCTCAGGAATCTCATGCTAGTCACTCTCGCGTCGAAGGCTGTCAATCATTACTTTAGAAATTCATAGTATATGTCACTGATTTAAAGAGAAATTACCTTGAGGAAAATCCTCGCGGTTAGTTGCTGGTTAATTAACATTTTAGAGCGATTTTGAAGATTAAAAGTAACTTTTAAAAAATACCAAATTAAATAATATTTTGTTTTATTTATTAAGTGTTTAGAAAATCAAACCTGGGAGTTTAACAAGATCGTTATTATAAGTTACTGGGTGAAATTAATTCACCAGGCATATTAATATTAGTAAGTCTACCCGTGCTAAAATAAAGGCATTGCCTATGCATAGTGAAATCTATTCTACACTTTTATCACAAGTACAGTGAAAAGTAACTAATAAGATGCCTTTTAAAAAAAATCGGAAATTCAGAAGGTTTAAAAAAAATCACTACTAATATAAAATAAGCTTCCAGAATTAATTTCTAAATTAGCTGGAACGGCGCTCTTAAACTTATTTAGAAGAGCAGAGTGCAGGAGCATACTAGCTTATAGATACAAAGAGGGTAAACAAAAGAAATATGTAAGCAAGAAAGCTAACGTGATCATTTAAGTACGACATTCTTAGTGTACAATTTCCTCCAGCCACGAGACAATGATACATTAACGGGTTATACCACTTTAGGATTATATGAAGGTACTTGTAGAATCCAATATCACTTTTCTTTCGTAGGTTATGAATCTCTTTAAGCTACGAGAACATACCTTCTAATTCTTGAGTAATGTTCTGAAAATTAGTTTACGTCAAGACAGAATATTTAGTTTGTCGCTACTTGTATATAAGCGAGTGTATCTACACAATTTAGACTATCATTCCATAAATAGCAATTAAATTGGGCGTTTTATAAAAATATTACACAAAAAACTAATTAAGTGGAATATTTGGGGTTTTATAGAAATATTACACAAATTAAGTGAATATTTATAGAGTCACAGCTCATTCAGATAATAATTATCCTTAAACTAGGAATAGGGCTAAGAGAGCACAGGTTTGTAAGTAAACACTTTTAAGAAAGGTGGGAGGATATGTACCTCCTCCCCAACAGATAACCACAAATCAAAACAAGAGAGTCAATCAAGGTTTGGGCTAAACATACTTACTCTGTTCCAACTGTACCCTTCGTTCTGGTAAATAAACAAATCGGAAACTTATATTAAATATAATTCCATAAAAATTATCTCTTTTTAGATATCAAAATGAACAAGTCAGTGGAAAAAATTTATTTTACCCATTAGCCAAAATGCACATGCGAATCATTAATTTTTGTACAGTAGTCAGTATGACCGTCCTGAAGACTTATCAACTTTCATTGATCCACGACGGGCCAAAATTTCAACTTTTCAATTTCAGTTTAAAGATTCGCTGTTAAGTGTTCCAGCTACTGTATTATGACTTTCGCACGTTTTAATCTATCCACTGGCTGGTTCGGTTGATTTGCATGGCAGACTTGTGCCTTCAACTAACACAATTGTAGAATATTTTCATGCATTTAGGCTAATCGGTATTTTTTTTTATCCCCACCAGACACTTAAAAATCTTTGTCACAAAATTGTTATAAAATAAACCATGTACAAGACAAAAATCGTAAAAAAAATATGAAAAGCAAAAGAAAAAATAAATTCTAGGGAGGTCAATTGTAGAGGAACAACTAGGCACCGAAGACTTACTCTGAGACTGACAATACTCTTTTTGGGTTTCTCATCTATCGTTGCCTCCTTGATCTCCCCCAGCTTGATGGAAGGCTTTAGCCGCGAGGGAGGTTTTGGTGGCTTCGTTTCAGATATAGGACGGTAAAATAGAAGACTTTAATGTCTTTCCCTCCGACAAGGAAGACAAAGACGACCTGGACGGCTTAGTGTCAGAGACGTTCGATGACGAGGAAGGTGTCGAAGTTTTTATTTCGCTCGAAAATTTCGTACTTTTTGGCTCCTCTTCCTCCTTTTTTTTAGAGGTTTCTTCTTCGTCTCTTCTTACCGAGGACGAAGTAGAAGAAGTTCCTTGTAAGGAGGAGGTCCTGGAGAGGGCAGGCCTGGCGGGGGACTTAGTGCGCATGGCCAGATAGGAGGAGAAGGAGGAATAACCTGTCGAAGTATCCTTGTCGGTATTATTCGACAAGTCCTTCGAGCCGTCCCGGAGGTCACCGAGGCTGCCCAGGTCCTGCGACAACGATCTGGAGCTTCCATATAGGCGGTGCAAGTCTGTAAAACGAAACTAAATTAACTCCCCAGCAAAGCGCCAGCAGCGCATGCACACAATCATATACTGTACATAAATTAACTTGGGGATGAAAAAGATGCCAAAATTCATTAGGGAAAATAACAGGAAAAGGCCTATAGAATATGAATTATGCTTCACTGCTCTAGCAATGTAATAGACATGACTGAAGTACAGGAGAAAATTCCAAAGGAATGAAATCTCTGCAGTAATTGAATCATAGCAGTTATTTTTAGAATATAAGTGCTACATTCCTTCCTATACCTCCCCTTCGATTCATACTCAAATTTACAAGTGCTGCTTATTAGGTTGTACAACTGTATATTATTAATAGAAAAAAAAAGTTTAAATAACGCACCCATCCAGCAACTAGACTCCTACAAGAACACTACGGTATACAGAGAAAAGATTTCTCTATGCAGCAGAGATGCTTGACTCCGGTTGGCCAACTCATTACGTTCAAAGCTCTGGGTGTAGATTTAGTCCTGAAAGCTACGAGCTTGTGTATGTAGACAATCACCAGTGCGTAGCTGCTACACTTTGCTGTGTAAACTATGCTCGTCCGACATGATGTATTCACCTTTGACTGTGCTGGCTCTCTCAATACTTATGTAACCTCGCAAATGATGGATACATCAATAACACCTACAGAAAAATGTAAGAGTTGTGCATGAACTTAGAGTCTATAATTAATATAGTTTTAGGTAAACTAGGCTTTTATAGGCTATAAATATTCCAGATTGGAAGTTTTACCACAATATTACCCAACCAGAAATATGAAAACTAAAGTTTCAGGAGATTAAGTATCCAGTACTTGAATTAATAAACTATCGTTTTATATATATTCTGATAAGTATGTCACTTTCTTAACGAGTATACATGTGCATGTATGCTTCGAGGAGTATCTCGGTATACATGTACTGATTTTCATTTAATCCCATACGTAATATAACAATTTAGAAAAACGCAAATAACTGGTAAAACACGTGTTAATATTTATCTCAGATACCTTGGAAAGCCGCTGGTTATGCAGAGAATTTCGGCAGATTAAAGTCGAGAATTAAAACTCCTGGACATTTTATACTCTTGTGTTATATTATTTGTAAGCTCAGTTTAATATAATTGTCTGAGGATAAGACTAGTAAATATATTGATAATTTTAAGTATCAAAACAATAAATTTATATAGCAAAGCTACAATGATGATCATTACTACGGTATAAGTATCATGATTTTCTAGTTGTCGATAGTCTTTAAGTTGATAAATAGTGAGGGAGACTTAGAGAAGCAGTTTGCGAATAAGAATATAAGCAGTAGTAATAATAAATGATAAAAATATAATTATCTAATTAATAGTAAGTGGAAATTTGTTTTTACATGACATCTGCAGGTCATACACGACAACACCTGCAGGTCATACACGACAACACCTGCAGGTCGCTCATGACAACACCTGCAGGTCGCACATGACAACACCTGCAGGTCGCACATGACAACACCTGCAGGTCGCTCATGACAACACCTGCAGGTCGCACATGACAACACCTGCAGGTCGCACATGACAACACCTGCAGGTCGCACATGACAACACCTGCAGGTCGCACATGACAACACCTGCAGGTCGCACATGACAACACCTGCAGGTCGCTCATGACAACACCTGCAGGTCGCTCATGACAACACCTGCAGGTCGCTCATGACAACACCTGCAGGTCGCACATGACAACACCTGCAGGTCGCTCATGACAACACCTGCAGGTCGCTCATGACAACACCTGCAGGTCGCTCATGACAACACCTGCAGGTCGCTCATGACAACACCTGCAGGTCGCACATGACAACACCTGCAGGTCGCTCATGACAACATCTGCAGGTCGTACACGACAACACCTGCAGGTCGCACATGACAACACCTGCAGGTCGCACATGACAACACCTGCAGGTCGCACATGACAACACCTGCAGGTCGCTCATGACAACACCTGCAGGTCGCTCATGACAACACCTGCAGGTCGCTCATGACAACACCTGCAGGTCGCTCATGACAACACCTGCAGGTCGCTCATGACAACACCTGCAGGTCGCTCATGACAACACCTGCAGGTCGCACATGACAACACCTGCAGGTCGCTCATGACAACACCTGCAGGTCGTACACGACAACACCTGCAGGTCGCACATGACAACACGTGCAGGTCGCACATGACAACACCTGCAGGTCGCTCATGACAACACCTGCAGGTCGCTCATGAACGCAGAATTGTCAAGCGAAGAAACTAGTCTCTGTTGTGTTCGTTTCTAACAGTCTGTCACACCGACAGCGGTCACTTACTCTGAACACCTTAATCTGGGCGCAGCTTCTACCTCGCACACCTAACAAGGGTACTGCAAGGGTCTGACAGGCCCACCATAGATTTCAAGATATCTTACGAAACCTCGCATGCTCACACAATCGATTGGGACATGAATACGTAGAGTTACCTTCTCTTGATGAGCGGATCTGTTCCTTAGCCTCGTCGACGGCCGCTCGCAGGTCCTGTGCCGACCATGACACCGGCCGCGACTTGTTCCAGGACTTGGAACTGCTGCAAATGCAAACCACGAATTAATTATTGCTGTTGGCAGGAGCCCCAATACCCGTACGCGGTAGACAGTATGGGTGGTTAATGATCAAACTTCAAGCAGCAAGGAAAAACTAGGGATTTATCCTCTCATTACGAATGGGATTTCAAAGCATAAAGGAGGAATTCAAAAGCACAGGGAAGAGGGATTTCAATGAAGGAAATGTTATTTTTCTTAGTATGGGGAATGTGGTCTTGGGTAAAAGTAAAAAAGTTACCTTTATTTTTTATAAAACAGTGATGCCCTCAGTGTCTTAATCCAAGGTGCTGATACCCGAGACTAAATACATATTGCTGATAAACTTCACTTGTGTGTTAAAAGTCTACGAGTTTTATATTGCATATTTATATATATATATATATATATATATATATATATATATATATATATATATTATATTATAATATATATATAATATATATATATATATATATATATATATTATAGTTTACCCTATGTTTAGACCTGGTTTTTATAATTGGTTTTCTCTGATTTTGTACATTACCTGATGATGGAGTATATTAACTTCAATTCTAGTCGAGATTGATGTTTCAAGAAGCAATGTTGGTTTTCATCTTCCTTATCGTGTGTGTGTGTGTGTGTGTGTGTGTGTGTGTGTGTGTCTGTGTGTGTCTGTGTGTGTGTGTGTGTGTGTGAGTTTGTGTGTGTGTGTTGTGTGTGTGTGTGCGTTGTGTGTGTGTGTGTTGTGTGTGTCAAATTACTAAATGTATTAAAAGAATAAAAATCTTTTTGGCAGATTCGAGTATATTGTGCACAGTCATCCCCTGCTTCCCTCCCTGAACACAACTCTTTTAGTATAGCCTACACCGCTATGCCAAGATCTTTGACCCACTTGGACGACAACGATGACTTCTTCTCTTGGTGGCGTTCTTCTTCAGCGTTGGCTCGCGAGATGAGTTCGGCACTGAGGTCAGATCGCGTCCTCCTGTAGGCTCCCGGAGACTCACTCTCGCCCTTGGCCCTGGAGGAGGAGGACACTAGGGAGTCTCTGGAGCCATACCCACTGGAATCTTTGCCTCTGTCATCATCTTGTCTGCGGATGAAGCTACTGTTTGTGCGAAGGCAGCAGCGGCGGCGGCGGCAGCAGCAGCAGCAGGCAACGGTAGAGACAGCACAAGAACAGGACATGGGAGTTAGAGGCAGCGGCTGGTTTATCCAGAGGCTCTAGAAGGCTACAGAGGGCTCTACACTACTGCCCCTGGGCTCTAAATGCCAGTAATTCAAACTCTGTACTTCGTTTTGACAGTTCTTTTGCAGTTCACAAATAAATTATAACGACTATTAAGTAATCTTCAATACCTTACCTGGGAATTTTTGGTAGTATTTAAAAGAAAAATTCTTCATTTAAAGGATAAATTCCATGGGTTTATAATATTTTTTCTTCATTATGAATACAAATTATACCACAAGTCTTGATATTTTCTTATTAAACGTTTGTGACAGGAATAAAGAAATATTTTATTAATAAAAAAGTTTTATGCCTTCACGTTTTGTAATTTATTTTTTTCCAGAGAATTTACTCTTATTTAATTTTACTCCAAGTTAATGCTTAAAACAGAAGTAAAATATCTTTTACGAATTTATGGAAGAAATAAAAATTAATTATTTGTATGAATAAAAAAAATTTGTGTTTGTTGTTTGATAAAAGTCTTATGTTCGTGTGTTCACAAAACCATGTACATTAAGGACAAAGGAACACGAAACAGTCGTAGGGGGTGAGGCGACGAGACGGTCGTGGGAGGGAATGAGATAGTCCATGGAGCGATGAGGCGGTCCGGGGGAGACTAGTTGGTCGGGGAGAGACTGTCCGGAGGGGACGAGGGTGGAGGACACATGAGAGGGTCCAGGGGACACACACACTAGACGGTCGGGGGACAGGAAAGAAGACAAGATTTTTTATATGGCAAATGACAGTAAATAATTGTCTGTGGCAGTCACTATCGAACCTGCAAGTCAACTCCAGGAGCTTTGTCATGCCGTTACGGCTTGATAAAGCTCCTGGAGAGCGAAACATTTTCACAGTAAAATGTCACATTACTTGCACTTGTGTCCTTTTACCTAACATATTGTGGGTAATTCTACCAGCATTAATACAAGTCAACTCATATACTAAGTCAATCTTATTTAGCAAGTCCAGCTAAATTAGTCATATTCAGTATTCAGCTATAACTTCATGTTATGAGAATCCTCATGTGATCTGTGAGAACAGTCATGACACCACTAGTCTAGTCACAGTCGTCGCTCACCAAATAGGACTATTGTACGTAGGCGATCTGTAAATTTTTGTGTGTGTGTATTTTATCTTCGAAATATAAGCCAGCTCAGCACAGCGGAATGCAGCTGCAACAAGAACAATAATATACATATAGCATGTGTCCACCATTGATGCGGTCTTGGAGTTGTTATCACACAAGGTTTAGGATCAACATGCGTGCAATACAGCCAAAAAACGTGCAGTTCACAGATTTATAAACCATTCCAACAGTTACAGCATAATTCAGTTTATGTATTTTGCCATTAAACTAAACAGTTTATATAAAAAAAACGAATGTGGAACAAGTTAGGAAAGCATTAAAAATAGCTGTATTTTTTATATTGTTAACGTAAGTCGCATGAACTTCCCACGACCCTGTGGTTGGCAGGCCTCCAGGGGGCACTACAAGCTTAGTGAGCACACATCACCGCTCCTCACCTGCCTGGGTACAACCACACACTCATAGCTGTTACTGTAGGCTCCTGATAAGTGGGTAGAAAACTATACGGATTATCGTTAAATTTACAGTGAGAACAATCATGTGCAAATCTACATAAAGACTGGATAATTGTGACCTCCACAAATCTAAAGAAAAATTATTTGAAGTAAATAGTTAACATCAATTCTGTGATAAAATTATAGAGCTCAAGCTACTGGAGAAAAATATGTCTAAAACAAAGCCTAAATCATTAATAAAAAAATGACTGGAGTAATTTTGTCAGTCACTGAAGCGTTTCTCTAATCACTGGTTCAAAAGACTACACAGATAATAAAATTCTCAAGACTGGAAAAAACATACGATCAGAGGAGAAAAACACCTAGCTTCAGTAGTTCTCCTGCCAAGATCAAGCAGACTGTAGTGTCAGGTGGCTGATGTGTCTGGCTGGGGTCTACGGTGGACCCTCGATGCTCCTGTCCCTCAAGAATATATAAGATACATTACAAATGACTTGTGTGTGGATGCATAGACTTACTTAGTATTGGGATCATAGCTGGTTAAGGAGTTGAGAGAAGAGGTTGACCCAGACTGCTCTTTGACGCTCTTGTGGTCATTGTAGTCCCTGCAAGTGACGATGAAAGGTCAGCAGGTAAACAAGGCAAGAAGGTTCGAGGTTTCAGTCATGAATATAACTACTAAGTAACATGGAGGAATATTTGACAAAATTTATTAATTTTCTAACATCTGTGCCATTTTCCACCAAGAAAGGGGTGACTCAAAAAAAGAAAACATTTACCATCACTCATTCCCTGATTTTTCATGGAGAAATAATGTCCTTCCAATAAGTAGCAAAAATATAACCACCAGCTCACTACCACCACAAATGTTGGATCTACAAACTCGCCACTATGTGAGCTACCAGTGTCACCTGTACAGGAATAACACATGTCCAAAACTTAATATCCAAGAGTTATCAAGACTAAGGGACTGATCACCTATAAAGACTTCAGGGACTACCTTCTCAGATTACCTCATGCACCGTTTATTCTCTGTTTTGGACTGATGAAATAACTGGTTGGTGAAACGTGTACTTCTACTAGCCCCCACCCAGTGTATGTGTACTTCTACTAGCCCCCACCCCGTGTATGTGTACTTCTGCTCGCCCCCACCCCGTGCATGTGTACTTCTACTCGCCCCTACACCATGTGTACTACTAGCCCCCACCCCGTGTATGTGTACTTCTACTCGCTTCCACCCCGTGTATGTGTACTTCTACTCGCCCCCACCCCGTGTATGTGTACTTCTACTAGCCCCCACCCCGTGTATGTGTACTTCTACTCGCCCCCACCCCGTGTATGTGTACTTCTACTAGCCCCCACCCCGTGTATGTGTACTTCTACTCGCCCCCGCCCCGTGTATATGTACTTCTACTCGCCCCCGCCCCGTGTATGTGTATTTCTACTAGCCCCCACCCCGTGTATGTGTATTTCTACTAGCCCCCACCCCGTGTATGTGTACTAGCCCCCACCCCGTGTATGTGTACTACTAGCCCCCACCCGTGTTATGTGTACTACTAGCCCCCACCCCGTGTATGTGTACTACTAGCCCCCACCCCGTGTATGTGTACTACTAGCCCCCACCCCGTGTATGTGTACTTCTACTAGCCCCTACCCCGTGTATCTGGAGTTTATCTGGAGAGAGTTCCGGGGGTCAACGCCCCCGCGGCCCGGTCTGTGACCAGGCCTCCTTAGGTCAGTGTCCCAGGATGCGACCCACACCAGTCGACTAACACCCAGGTACCCATTTTACTGATGGGGAACATAGACAACAGGTGGAAAGAAACACGTCCAATGTTTCTACTCTGGCTGGGAATCGAACCCAGGCCCTCACCGTGTGAAGCGAGAGCGTTAACCACCAGGCCAGAGCCCCCACCCCGTGTATGTGTACTTCTACTAGCCCCCACCCCGTGCATGTGTACTTCTACTAGCCCTCACCCCGTGTATGTGTACTTCTATTAGCCCACACCCCGTGTATGTGTACTTCTACTAGCCCCCACCCCATGTGTACTACTAGCCCCCACCCCGTGTATGTGTACTTCTACTAGCCCCCACCCCGTGTATGTGCACTTCTACTAGTCCCCACCCCGTGTATGCGTACTTCTACTCGCCCCCACCCCGTGTATGTGTACTACTAGCCCCCACCCCTTGTATGTGTACTTCTACTCGCCCCCACCCCGTGTATGTGTACTGCTACTTGCCCACAACCCGTGTATGTGTACTTCTACTAGCCCACACCCCGTGTATGTGTACTTCTACTAGTCCCTCACATCCCGCGTACACATCCACCAATCCATCACTTGTGTGTGTGATGGGTTGGTTCCTCTACCAGGCCACCCCACGTACGTTCCTCTACCTGGTCACCACAACGTACGTTCTTCTACCAGGCCACCACCCCGTACCTTCCTCTACCAGACCACCACCACCACGTACCTTCCTCTACCAGACCACCACCACCACGTACCTTCCTCTACCAGACCACCACCACCCCGTACCTTCCTCTGCCAGGCCGCCAGCACGTACCTTCCTCTACCAGGCCACCACCACGTCCCTTCCTCTACCAGGCCGCCCCAGCCTTCCTCAACCACCCCACCACCACCTACCTTCCCAACCACCCCAAAAACCTACCTTCCTCAACCGGGCCCACCACACCTCCTTTCCCTCAACCGGCCACCACCCTACCTTCCTCAACCAGGCCACCACACTTCCCTTCCTCAACCGGGCCAAAACTTACATTCCCAACCGGCCCCACCACCACCTCCTTCCTCCCAGGCCACCCCACCTCCCTTCCTAACCAGGCCCCCACCACCTCCCTTCCTCACCAGGCCACCCCCACCTCCTTTCTAAACCAGGCCACCAAACGTACCTTCCTAAACCCAGGCCACCCCCAAACTACCTTCCCAACCGGCCCACCACCCCTACTTCCTTCCGGGCCCCCCCACCTACTTCCTTTCATCCGGGCCCCACCACCTACCTTCCCCTAACCAGGCCACCACCACGTCCTTTCCTCAACCGGGCCACCACCACCTACCTTCCCAACCGGGCCACCACCACCCCCCTTCCTAACCGGGCCCCCAAACCCCACCTCCCTTTCCCTAAACCCGGGGCCACCCCCCACCTCCCTTTCCCAAAAGCCACCACCACGTCCTTTCCTAAACCCGGGCCCACCACCCGTCCCTTCCCCAACCAGGCCACCCCAGACCTTCCTCTACAGGCCACCCCACGTCCCTTTCCTTCGGGGCCCCCCCAAACGTCCCTTTCCCTAAACCAGGCCCCCCCCCTCCCTTCCTAAACCGGGCCCACCCCCACCTACCTTCCTCACCAGGCCACCCCACGTCCCTTCCCTAAAACCAGGCCCCCACCACCCCCCTTCCCTCAACCAGGCCCACCACGTACCTTCCCTACCGGGCCACCGCCACGTCCTTTCCCAAACCAGGCCACCGACTCCCCTTTCCCCAGGCCACTCCCGTACTTCCTAAAACCGGCCACCCCACGTATTTTTCCTCCCCCAGGCCACCCCCACTCCTCCTAAACCAGGATACCACCACGACTTTTTCAACCAGGCCACACCCCCTACCTTCCCTACCGCCACCAACTCCTTCCTAAACCGGGCCACCACCACCTCCTTTCCCTAAACCGGCCACCACCCGTCCCTTCCTCAACCACCACCCCATCCCTTTCCTCAACCGGGCACCCCCACGCCCTTCCTCAAAGGCAAATCACCCCCTTTCCCCTCAACCAGGCCACCCCCAGGGAATTTCCCTAACCGGCCCCACCCCCAGGGGAATTTCCCCAAACAGGCCCCCACTGCGTTCCTTCCTCAACCGGGCCACCCCCACGTCCCTTTCCCTAAACCGGCCACCCCCACGTACCTTCCTAAACCGGGCCACCCCACGTCCCTTCCTAACCCAGGCCACCACCTACTTCCCAACCGGGCCACCACCCGTACCTTCCTAACCGGGCCAACCACACCTCTTCAACCGGCCCCCACACGTCCCCTCAACCAGGCCACCCACCTCCCTTCCTAAACCCAGGCCCCCCCAGACCTTCCCTCAACCGGGCCACCACCACGTACCTTCCTCAACCAGGCCACCCCCACTCCCTTCCCAAACCCAGGCCCACCCCCTTTTCCTTTCCCCAAACCAGGCCCCCCAGTACCTTCTTAACCGGCCACCCCCACGTCCCTTCCTCAACCGGGCCCACACCACCCCCTTTCCCAACCAGGCCACCACCACGTCCCTTCCTCTCCAGGCCACCACCCTCCCTTCCCCTAAACCCAGGCCCCACCACCCCCTTTTCCCTAACCAGGCCCCCCCCTCCTTCTCAACCCCCCCCCCCCCCCCCCCCCCCCCCCCCCCCCCCCCCCCCCCCCCCCCCCCCCCCCCCCCCCCCCCCCCCCCCCCCCCCCCCCCCCCCCCCCCCCCCCCCCCCCCCCCCCCCCCCCCCCCCCCCCCCCCCCCCCCCCCCCCCCCCCCCCCCCCCCCCCCCCCCCCCCCCCCCCCCCCCCCCCCCCCCCCCCCCCCCCCCCCCCCCCCCCCCCCCCCCCCCCCCCCCCCCCCCCCCCCCCCCCCCCCCCCCCCCCCCCCCCCCCCCCCCCCCCCCCCCCCCCCCCCCCCCCCCCCCCCCCCCCCCCCCCCCCCCCCCCCCCCCCCCCCCCCCCCCCCCCCCCCCCCCCCCCCCCCCCCCCCCCCCCCCCCCCCCCCCCCCCCCCCCCCCCCCCCCCCCCCCCCCCCCCCCCCCCCCCCCCCCCCCCCCCCCCCCCCCCCCCCCCCCCCCCCCCCCCCCCCCCCCCCCCCCCCCCCCCCCCCCCCCCCCCCCCCCCCCCCCCCCCCCCCCCCCCCCCCCCCCCCCCCCCCCCCCCCCCCCCCCCCCCCCCCCCCCCCCCCCCCCCCCCCCCCCCCCCCCCCCCCCCCCCCCCCCCCCCCCCCCCCCCCCCCCCCCCCCCCCCTTTTTTTTTTTTTTTTTTTTTTTTTTTTTTTTTTTTTTTTTTTTTTTTTTTTTTTTTTTTTTTTTTTTTTTTTTTTTTTTTTTTTTTTTTTTTTTTTTTTTTTTTTTTTTTTTTTTTTTTTTTTTTTTTTTTTTTTTTTTTTTTTTTTTTTTTTTTTTTTTTTTTTTTTTTTTTTTTTTTTTTTTTTTTTTTTTTTTTTTTTTCCCAAAACCGGGGCCCCACCCCTATTTCCTCAAAGGCCACACCCTATTCCTTAACGGGGCCCCCCACCCTTCTACCGGGCCCCAAACCAGGGAATTTTTTACCGGGCCCCACCCTTATTCCTCCCCCACCCCACCCCGTTCCTTCCTCCCGCCCCCACCATTCTAACCGGCCCCACCCAAAGTCCCCTTCCCCAACCAGGATACACCAACCTTCTTCACAGCAACCCCAGTAATTTCCCCTCCCCAGCCACCCACCAACCTCCCTTCCTTTACCGGGCCACCCCAGTACTTCCTCAACTGGCCACCCCCACTATTCCCTTCCCCCAGGGGCCACCCCCCCACCTTCCTAAAACCGGGCCACCCCCACCTCCTTCCCTCAACCACCCCCACCACGTCCCCCCTCCCCAAAACCCCCCCCACCACCAAAAATTTTCCTCAGCCAGG